TATGAACAGCAAAAATTGGAAAAAATCGTGGAAAAATTGATTTATAGGCATGGAAATTACACATATGAAATAAGTCGTTTTTGTTCGTAAAAATAAACATCTTAAGCAACCATTTTTAAAAAATTGCCTGTTGTCATTCAAGTAGCTTTGGAATTTCTCTAATGAACAGGACATTTTAAATTTCGGAATAATCCAGGATTTCGAATTATCGAATTTGTGCGTACCTGTCGCGCTTGTGTATGCTAGAAAGGTTACTCTTTTTTTTGGGTTTTTCTTCCTCGATCTGTTTTCCTCTCGCGAGCTACATATATTTTCCAAGAACAAGCTTCCGTCGGTGTTGTAGATCTGACTTTTTTTTTCTGCAGAGATCTTTTTTTTTTAGATTCATTTGAAAGAATGACAATTTTTCGCTTGATATCTTTAAGTAACGTATTCAAAAGCGCCTTTTATATTTTTGGCACCAATCGCTGCTTGCATGGAAGGAAGGTTCTTTATATTGAACCCACCCCGGGAGATTTTTCTCTCTTCGTTTGAGAAACCACTTATACAGAAGCCATTTCTATTCGTGGACATTCTGAAGGTTTTCATTTTTCCTGGCCCGTTAAAAGTATTGTTGACCATTTTCAAAATATTTGAGGGGCACAAACACCGTCTCGGATGACTGATTCCTATATTGGTATCAGAAAAAGATCTGAGTCAGATCTGTTAGTTTTTTTTTATAGATTTCTATAGATTCTCGGATTTTTCTTTGATAGAAGAATTGTACATTCAAAAATTTTTTTCGTGCTTGTGTTCGTCAACTGCTGATGAGTTTATTTGTCTTATTTTTAAGGCTCTTTCTCTCAAATGTATTCTTTGCCGCGTAGGCATGGAATGCTGTAAACTCCTGGCATTCCAACTGGAATTTTGTCTCTGACGGATCGAAGATGTTGAGAAATTTTTGGACAAGCGGTGAATCTAGATTTGACGTTACATTTCTTTAGAAGGTTTGATATATGATCAGTGATGTTTTGAATGAAGTCGGGACCGCAGTGGCAAGTGTAGAATTGCTTTCAGCCTCATTACTATTGGCAGGTTGCGGTGAAGTGTATTTTGTGATGAAACGCTTAATATTTTTAATGTAGAAATTATTAGAATGAAGAGCAGAGGGAACGTGATTTTCTATTGATAAGAATATCTAAGAATGGGAGGTTATTATTAGTTTCTAACTCAATGGTAAAACGTTTGTTAGGTGTTAAATATCTAGCAAAATCTACTAGGGATTCATGAGGCGAAATAACAAAAGTTTCATCGACGTAGCGTTTCCATAATTTTAGTTTTAGATGAAAGGTGTCGAGAGCTTTCTTGTCAAAGGCTTCCATTCGCGACGACTGATGATAGTTGCGAACCCATAGCTGTTCCCGACGTTTGTTGAAGAATTTGACCGTTATAAGAAAAATATGTTCCAGACAAGGATTTTGCAATTAAGATGGGAAGCTTTGGTTCCCGATTCTCGGATTTTATATATGAGATGATATTGAGAGTTTCAGGAATATGAACTTTGGTAAAGAGTCATTCTACATCAAAAGTAATTAGAATATCTTGTGTATCTAGTGTAATGCTTTTTAATTGTTCAATGAAGTGAAAGGAATTAAGTAGGAAACTATCAGTTTTCCCTGTGAAGGGTTTTAATAAGGAAGCTAGATATTTTGCTGGAGAATATGTTGGTGCTGACAATAGGTCGAAGGGGTAATCCTGGTTTGTTGGGGGTCCGTAGAGTCATGAAGGGTGACAGATTTTTTGACGGAGTCTGATAAAGAAGAAGCCTTAATGATGGCGAAGATGACGTAGGTTTTTTTTTAAGTTGACGTTATGATCCGTCTGTAAGAATATCTTGTATCTTTTCTGATTTTAGAGATTTTAGATTTAGGAGGTTTTGATTTTTTCAGGATTTTTGCTGTTTGAAATCGAATTTCATTTGCCGTTTGAGATGGCAGTTTGTTTAGGATAGACTAGATATTTGAAATAATTTCCTCTTTTGGGATAATACATGGGACAGGGACGAAGTTGGAACCTTTTGAAAGAACTGATTTTTCCATTTCAGAAAGTTGGTGCAACATTTTTTACAGTGTTTTGTAGTTGAGAAGAGTTTGATGGTTTTCCTAATGTTGACGTTAGTTTTTCAAATTTTCGAATGTGAATCATATTTGAAAGGGTATCGAACTCGAATGGGGACAAGATGGAAGCGATTTCAAGATGTAGAGATAGAAGAGTCTTATTGATTAGGTCTATTTCCTTAGTGGTATGATGAATTCTTTGTCGCAGTAAAGATTTTCGAAAAATTTTATAAGCGGACGAGGTTTTGACATGATGGGATATTTTAAGAAAATACAAGAATACAACGTAACAAATAGGTCAGTGTACAGATTAATCTTGCCAGTTTCAGTAGGTGATCTTTTAACTTTCTGATTTTGCACTTTATGTTCTTTTAATAACGACTTGTTAATTTTTCAAAGAAACTTCCCCAGGCTACTGTATTACTTTTTATAAAACTTCCGGATTCCTTCTGCGTTGGTTTTTTCAACTAGGCTCAAAGAACATGAAAGAACCTTAAGACTAAGACAAATAAACTCATCAGCAGTTTCCGAACGCAACCACGAAACCGGACAAAAAATTTTATTCGATAAAACTAAAATTCTTGCATGTAATCAATTCTTCTACCAACGAAAAATCCGAGACTATAAAAATCTATAAGCAACCTAACAATCGCAACCGCGAATCAGGTCTTTATCTGTCACCAATATGAGAATCATTTAGCTCCTTCTCCCTCAAACAATATAAAAGCAGGTACATAGTAAAATGCGAGCCAGTTTTCAGTGAAGCTCTGAACAAGGCAACAGGATGATTGGCGAAACATTGGCTAGTTCGACTCAACAAAAACCGACACAGGAGGAATCCAGAAGTTTCATAAAAAGTGTTCTATAGGATTATTTATAGACCAATATTTTGTCAATATGACTTTTGTAATGGACCAAAATTCATCGGTCTATCAAATATATATTTTTTAATTATTATTTAAGAGTCTTGTAGGTTCTAATCTTGCATTTTTTTCCGATTTTCGTTATTTATGACCAATAGAATAGAAGATCTTTTCAAGGATTGGTCGAAGTAGTCAGTTTTATGTCCAAACTAAATTCAGGTCGATAGTAAATCAACGAGCCCAGAGCGAGCGTACTTACGAGAGGCAAGTTTAACTCCGCCACGCTGTCGGAAAATTTGCCATTAACTTCGGCATTTTGTGAACAATTTCTTTCGGGCATTATTCGTAAGAGGTCGGCCGTTCTCATAATGAACGCCCGGCGTTGTGTGGCGAACTTCCCTTTAATTAAAGTCTAGGCAAATCAATTATAACACTTAGAGCGGGGGTGAAAAACTCAACTCTCGTAATTAATATTGATCACCGCGACTCCAGATTTCTTTGTTTACGGTTCGAGTGGGGCAATGAGAGAAATCCGAAAGATCGGGACCTGATTTTCGGTTGGAACGAAGCAACGCGGCGGCTTTATTTTGGCAAATTATGAGCGGATCGGTTTGTGCCCCGAACAACCGAAATTATTCGCTTTTTAATTACTTCTAAAACTTGCAAACGTTAAAATTGAAGTAAGAAAACGGCACAATTAAGCTTTAACTTCGTCATAGATATGACCTATAACGTGAGCATTGAAGAACCAAGAGAAACCTCCTCTTGACCTGATAAAATTATTATTAAATTATTAACCTACCGGAATCTCAACAAAACACATTCTTCAGATGCTTAGCAATGTATGAACTGGAAAATTGGAGAATCGCAAACACCGTTCCCCTATTAATTAAAAAATGTTTAAATATAATATAACATTTTTGGAACTAATAGCTTATTAGTTATTAGCCGAGGAAATGATTTTTTTGAACAAGTCAAATTTTGGAATAAATAAGATATATAGTTTTATGAAAGCCGAAAAGAATGCAGGAATAGCCAAGCAATTTGTATCACGACCAATATCCTGAGAGAAAATAACATCTTAACAACTCTCTATGATTTACAAGAAATAGTGGTTTTAGGAGCCGCAAAAAATAGATCTACAATATCAAAGTTAAAGACACCAACAAGAACTAACCTTAGAAGAACTTTAAGAAAAACCTACATATGCAGTACCCGAAAAGTGCGCGAGTACGCATAGCCCTTTAATTCTTCGAAATTTCTAAGAAGCCTAAGTTCTAAATTTCTTCTTTTTCCGAGAAAACTGTAGCAAATTACCAGGTATGCTAAATTTTTGGATCGGTAATCTTAAGTTCTGGTAATCTTAAAATTTACGGTTCATATCTAATAAACTAATAACTAATAACAAATAAAATAATGAGATATAGAAAATATTTTCATAGAAACACAAAACTTCCCATATCAAAAAAGTTTTAGCGGGTTTTCTTTCCCTTTTAGAAAGAAAATAAAATGCTTATATTAATAAATCAGTAGGCAAAACCCGTAAAGCGGCTTAAGAATTTGTCGTTCTGTAGTCCCTTTGCATTAGGCTTCATTACTCTACAGTTTTCTAAAATAGACTTTAAGTTGTAGACTGACAATTTAATAAGTTTATTATTAGTTAATTGACAAATTCTGGAAAATTCAAAAAATCGTCATCCTTTTTAGTTGAAATTATATTAAGATTTAAATATATTTTTTATAGTTCTAATTTGCCATTCCTGATTCAGAAAGCCACAAAAACAAGACATTCTTTATACATATCTGTGTATAAAAGACGATCCAATGAGAATTTGTTTTTTTTTTAATTTCGATTTTTAACTCTCCCCACTCTTTAAGCCTTAAAGAAATGAGACTTCTTTACCACTGAAAGCTCTTTAGTTTTGCCTTATGAACGAAGTAAATTTGGCCTACACGACGCCCGGAATATTTACAAGGTTGAAATCTACCCTATGTATATATTATTTTTGCTATGTTGTTAATTGTTTATTTTTGTTTTCAGGACTATAATTGGTTAATGTCACGGCGTGAGGTGAGTTAAATTTTAACTAATAGTTGCTAATGGCTTTTCACTTACACGTTTCTAAAGATGCAAGGTAATTGATTCACTTTCAGTGTCTTATGTAACAGATGTATCCAGAGTGTCAATTAAAGGGTTTTACTAAAGTTAAGGGCGGGTAGAGGATGTCCAATTTTTTTTATTTGTTTTTTTCTTAACATTTAGCGCGCCTTTAAAATATAAAATATTTTATAAAATAAAAAACACTTCATTGCGTATGCGTGCCAATGCGAATCGTTGCTATGAGTGAATGATAATAATGGGTGTTTTTTTTCGATGTATAGAACTTTAAGTTGGCATTACTGTTCAAGATGGCGACTGATTTAACAGCTGTCAAGTGATTTATTCTCAGTTTGGTTTGGCAATTCATCATGAATAGACTCACGCCTGAACAACGCTTGCCAATAATGCATCTTTATTTCGAAAATAATGGTTCTGTGCGGAACATGTATCGCGCACTACGTCCATTTTATCGTCGGCAAAATCTTCCATGAGAACAGTTAATTCGATTAACCATGGAACGTTTTCGCACCACGTTTACTCTTATTGATAACTCGCATCCCCGAAGACGCCGTACGGTGCGTACAGGAGAAGCTATTGCTGCTGTAGAGCGTAGCATTGAGGAAGACCCGAATGAGTCCATCCGCCATCGAGCACAGGAATTGGATCTGTGTCCATCCACTTTATGGAAGATTTTGCGGAAGGATCTTGGTTTACGTGCTTACAAAATCCAACTCGTGCAAGAATTGCAGCCAAACGATCATTAAGTAAGACGTAGATTTGTCGAATGGGCCCAAAACGAGATTGCCGTTGTTCCCGATTTTCATAAGCGAATTTTGTTTAGCGATAAAGCGCACTTCTGGTTGAATGGCTACGTCGACAAACAAAACTGCCGCATTTGGAGCAAAGCTAATGCTCAAGTGTATGTCGAAACACCGTTACATCCAGAAAAATTGACTGTTTGGTGCGCTTTATGGGCTGGTGGAATCATTGGTCCGTACTTCTTCAAAAACGATGATAGCCAGAACGTTACAGTCAATGGTGATCGGTATAGAGCTCTTTCATTCCTGAATTGAATAACCATGATGTCCAGGAGATGTGGTTTCGACAAGACGGCGCAACATGTCACACAGCTCGTGCCACAATCGATTTATTGAAAGACACGTTTGGTGACCGCCTAATTTCACGTTTTGGACCTGTGAATTGGCATCCAAGATCTTGTGATTTAACACCGCTAGACTACTTTCTGTGGGGCTATGTAAAGTCATTGGTCTATGCGGATAAGCCACAAACGCTTGACTATTTGGAAGACAACATTCGCCGTGTTATTGAGGATATGCGGCCACAAATGTTGGAAAAAGTCATCGAAAATTGGACGTTCAGATTGGACTACATACGCGCCAGCCGTGTCGGTCATATGCCAGAAATCATATTTAAAATTTAATGCCACAAGATTATCTTTCGGATAATGAAATTCATGTCAATCAAATATTCCATCGTTGTTTTATTGCAACTTAAAGTTCTATACATCGAAAAAGAACACCCCTTATATTGAATTGATCAACACTGACATAAACCACACCAAATTGTTTGAAACCAGGAATTTTAATACGTTGGCTCACTGTATTTTAAGTACGAAATGTTCGAAAACTTGCTATTAGGTCAATGCGAACGAAAAACTCATATGCATAAGCATTTAGGATTATTGTGAGTCGATTATTATCAAGCTAACCAATTATCTACAATTTTGGGTACCACATGAGACAATAAGATCACAACTTATGTTTTACACGGTCGGTTAGCTTATCTGGAACATTATCACTACCGAATAACACAGTAACAAGTTTTGATTTTGTAATGTAGTAGTTTGTAATATTTTTTTATTCTGTTTTCTATAATCATGTTTCTCCTTCACCCAATTATGTATTAAACAACTATATTTTTTCAGTCAATAATAAAAAACGTTGAATAAACACTGCGATTAGATTCAATTTTATAAATTAGGTTTGTGACTCAATCGCTTTTGTAGTTGTAATAATTTACGTAACAAGTACCGAAAGTGCGATTAGGGCAAATTTAGCTGACAATGTCTGTGTATGCCCTGTGTATACTTTTGGGTTGGATAATTTTTAAAAAGTTACTTACTGCAAGTATGCCTGCTTGTTGGTTACATTTTCCTTTTTTGGAACCAAAAAAGAGGTGTCGATGAGGAACGTTGACAGGATTTAAGCCAGTGATCATGGATTAAATACATGCCTTGTATTGTTGGACTATAAAGTAAGGCTCGCGATCACAGGCTGCTGACGGCTGAGCTAGAGTACTCCAGTCTTGAACCGGGTTCTATAAAGCTGTAAAATTATTTAGCAGTGCGAAAGCAACGAGATAAACTTAATGCAGAAATGTCGGAATGATGACGGACTTGGGTAATTGTCTATTAATTATGATCTAAATTCTATTCAAAGATTTGAGTACGGGCTAATTTTAAATAGAGGACTGTAATAAGCTACTTAATTTAAATACTTTGTTAAATAATATAAATTCGATATGAGTATAAGATTGTATAAGTTGCTATATATGCACAAGGACTGTTTCATAACAGAGAAAAGGCGAGTTTTCAGAAACTTCTAAATTGTCGTTTAAGGTTTATTTGTTTCTTTCGATTATGTAATGCATCTGTACCCTGTATGTGTACGCTTATGCAAAATATGTGTAATACGTACTTCCTACTTAATTAATAATTCCTCTCTCTCTACACTAAACTTGATTTGAAACTAATTAAAGTTTCAAACCTTCACACAAGAAATACTTAGCACGTTATTTTTACGCATGAAACTACAATTTTTCAATGTTCATTTAACTACAATGCTGTAATAATTTATAACCGTCTGCCAGACCAGATTAAAAAGTCCGCAACCGTATCCTCGTTTAAAACTGCTCTTCGTAAATACTTGTCACATTAGAGCTAGAATACAACTAGTTTAAGTTTTTGTTACTTAGTTTTGAGCTGTGCGTTACATTTTTTTTTTAAATAGTCATTTTTTGTTCTCACTTAACTTTTTTTCGCGCTTACGTGTTTGGCTTGACGGTCTAATACAAGCACCTACATATCTATTATTTTGTAATAATCATTGATTTAAATAAAGGCATCTTTTGTTTCTTTATAATACGTCGAACATTGCTTCCGTGGTTACCAGAACAATTTCATAGGCAAAATGTCACTTTTGGGACGGTTTAAAAAAAAACTGCTATTCTTTCAAAACATAACCAAACAATTTATTTTCTTTGTGTATATTTTTTGTATAAGTCTAATTACGAAGCGGATCAGTAAATGCTTCGTAAGCTATAATGAATGCGAACGGTTTACTTTGAAATAACCAAATGGAGGAAACGTCTAGAGAGAAATGTAAAACATAAAGGACCGCGGAAAGTTTTCGAATCCTCTACGGTTTTTTTCGAATCAGAATTCTTTGGCCGGTTTAATTAAGCTCTCTTTTCATTTGTAAATAAACCTCCCTTCGTATTGTGTTAAACGAACAGAAAATAATTCATACTTTTCGCCGCTAACTACCGTGTTTGAAGCGGAGCATCCAAATAACGAATTCTCTTTATTGTACTAAGTATTACTATTTTCTTTTCCGTCCTTTGAGCAAAAGTTAAGCGGTTCTGCTCTGTGGAGGCTTAGAGTTTATACCATAGTGTTCTTAAATAACCCCTCTGATTTCATTAAAAAAAAAGGTAGTTCCTACGAGATGTGGTCTAATTAAAATTTTAAATAAATTATTCAATAAATTTTCGTTATTTCAATAGGCCAAACAGACAGTTTGAATTATAGTATTTTTTGAACAACCTTACCCTTGATTCAGGGTCTCACAAGTAATTACTATTAATAAGTTACACGTGTTTCTTCCATAATTTGCAAGACTAAAAATCCATCTTAGGTGTTTAATAATAATATCTCATCTCTCTCTCTCTCTCTCTCTCTCTTTCTCTCTCTCTCTCTCTCTCTCTCTCTCTCTCTCTCTCTCTCTCTCTCTCTCTCTCTCTCTCTCTCTCTCTCTCTCTCTCTCTGTGTGTAAAAAGGTTACAGGGTGGCCCAACAAATAATTAAACAACTTTCATTGTTTGGCATTGCCTTCATTACAGAATTCTTTCTTTTAACCGAGTGCAGGTATTACAACTCGGGTTTGGCAAATTCATGGGCTTTGAATATTCTTATCACTTCACCAACACTGAAAATGGTGCGCCAAAGCCGCACCAGTTAGTTGGTCCCCATATAAAACTTTGGGCAAAACTCACCAAAATGATTTATTTTGTTCGGTGTGTTATAGAAATTTCAATTGTTTATAGCATCTTCTATAATTTGAAAACATCAAAGTTTTATTAGAAAAATATTTATTTTGTGAAGTTGTTTACTTTACCAACGTTTTATGTACAGAAAACTATAGGTTTAAACGTTTTCAAATTTGAAATCAAAATCTCAATATTACGAAGAAGCCACACTGAACGTATTTTGGCAGTTTTTAGCTAACGAAATTTGAAAAAAATGGTACTAATCATTTGAAAACTATCCAAGTTGACCCAAGTTTGAGCTTTAATTGCAGGTAAGTCTCGCAGTGTTATTTTGAAGATTTTTGGAAAATTATCTACCGCTATCTTTCATTTCGGCTAGAAGGTTGCTAAAAAAAATTGAAATCCTTAGATGTTTTAAATTATTAAATAGGATTTGATATTAATGAGACAAATTTCGAAAAATACACCAACGAAACTACTATCATTTTTATTTAGCATTAGGTCTGGTATTAAATGCCATCGTCACTACAAAAAGTTTTTATTTGCGAGGACGATTTAAATGATTGAGGCAGTCTCGTTGACGAAAGTACTTAATTAACACCGTGTATAACAATATTGACTATTTTAAAAATATAAGAAAATCGAGACTTGTGATAAAATTAAAATATTAGAATTTAATTTAA